ACTACATGTTGAAGTCGTTTGACTGAAACGAAAAACAGCCGAAACTCTCGCGCAGCCGCAACGCGCTGCGACGCCTAATTTCATAGCAAGCATGTTTCATCGGTGTCATTTTATATCGATGCCCTCTTATATACACAAAATGGATGCGGGTTCCTTCATTGATGCGTTGTTCTGGACTAGGCTGGCAGCTGAGAAATTCTCAAGTAGAGCAATTTCCTTTTCCATAAAAGCATACCGGATAAATCGCTGTTATTAAAGCATGCATTGTGACATAGTAAACGTAAATTAAATTAGACGTGTACATGATTTGGTTGTGCAAGTACTGTCTGCAGTGGCGTAGCAATTAACTTTGCCGTCCGGAGCGATGGCAAAATTTTCGCCCCTCCCACCCCTAGCGGTTGCAAATCCGTAAACCCTCAAACTTGGCTCAGAGAAGAGTGCACATTGGTTTTCGATGAAATGGCTAATCATTTAGGACACTTAGGTAAAGGTGGTGAAAATTGACCACAGCGGAACAAGGGTATCGCTGGGAAGGAGGTTAGCACAGGTGAGACAAGGTGTCGTTGATCATTCAGAGTAACGTTAAAAGATTCTTGTCACCTGCCACCCGGGGCGAAGCGACCCTCCTTGTTACTCCTCTGACTGACTGCCAATATGCAATGTACCCGTACTTTTAATCTTGTTGGTAAGATCCACGTCCATTACTGAAAGTTCTTTTAATCTCCGCAAGTATTTCGGCCTGCAGTAAGTGAGCAGCGCATAGTCAGTTGGTAAGCAGCTCAGTGCTTTACGTGCCGAGCGATCTAACTACCGTGTAGCTTGGATATTGCTATAACAATGTGGAGCTGTTGGATGTAACGGTCCAAACTGTCATCTTGTTGGTGTTGCAAATAAAGAAATGTGGTCACTTGTCACGAATTTGCCAAAACAATGATACGTGCGAACATTAAATGGCTAATTTTCGGCGTGTGCATTCTCCTGTGTGCGCTTGGTTCCGTATTCGTATTATTCTGTGTACGTATTTATGTCCTTTGGCTTTTTGCTGCGCGCATTTGTCCTGTGCGCATTCTTCCAGCCACCAGGTGAACATCTCCTTCGTTAACAAATCTATAAAGGAAAACTCGGTAGCTCAGTAATATTAGCGAACGGCTAAAGCGACGGAATACTGGTTTGGCCCCAGGAATTTCGATTGCATTTATGCCATGAAAGAAGGCCCAAACATGTCATACGATCGGTATTATCTGCTACAGGGTTTGGTCCATGCGAGTGGAGAGTCGTGCGTCACTGACTGCGTCACATCGGTAAGTAAGAGCATATTCGCCAGCTGGGCCAAGGTACATGTGGGTCTGTATCATTTCAAGTGAGAACTCAAACATAAATTATATATTGGTTAAGAAACACCAGCTAACATTGGGCGCTAAAGTACTTACGTTTCCAGTGAGTCGTCCATGCCCTCGTATGGCACTGCAAGACGGTCTTCGTTGATCTTGTACGTCCGGTATTCTTGATAGGGAACCTTGTGAGACAAAATACGATCAATGTCAACTATAATAGCATATACTCGCACACCTCGGACAGCATAACACATACTATCACATAACTCACCTTCCAACTTAGTTTTTCTTGTGGCACGTTCATTCTAATCCCCGGGTGACTCTCAAAGTTAAATGGCACAATACGCCAAACTCGGTGGCTCATTATCACCCGTTCGATAATGTTTCCGGTCACTGGAATGCCTCGGGGGCCACGGGCTGGAGGTTTCTTAGGTACCAGCACGACGTCCGTCTCCGGCTGCTCCAAAACAGCATTTGTCAAAACTGCTTTTGAGCACTGTTCCTGAATACGTATTCTACAAGTCAAGCAGAGGTTACTAAGAATATGCAAAAATGAGTAGAGTGAGAAGATAGTTGCTCGCAAAACGGATAAATAACAGGAGGAAAGCAGGTGGAGGATGACGATTTGAGTGAATCATTAGAGTAGCCAAAGCGAGGATGATGTGTGCACCAACATTCAGCAGTAATTGAGCACCTTCAACACTGCCCATTTCACTACTTAATTCCGTAACCCGCAAGAACCAACGCGTCAAATATTAGTTAAGTGGATGCAGTTTTGTTCCCACTACCTGGTGCCGCACATTCAGAGAACTTTCTGTGAGTCTACTCCATCGGAAACAGCAACAGTGTCTCCTATATATATATATATATATATATATGTATATATATATATATGTATATATGTATATATATATAGCACTCGATCAACAGTACAGTTGGCAATGTCGCACGACGTGTGGACAAAATACTACAGCAAAAATAGGGGAATAGAGAGTGATAAAATGTGTAAAACTGGAGTCATGAGGACAGAGTCTCACAAGATGGTTACCATTGCTCACTGTTTCTTGACATATCCGAAACGGTTTCCATCCAATTGCGTTCATGGTCCTCGCGCCTCAAACCGGGAAGTCGAGAGCGCCCGACCGCGGCCAAATGTGAGATCGACGCCTTCATATCTTGGCACAAGTAGTTCGCTGGCCATCTGGTCTTCGTGGCAGCCTATTTCTGTGGGCGCAGAGTGCCCAGCGTCTCAGTACTCTACCGAGAGGTTGATGGGAGCCATTTATCGTGAATTCCATGCAAAGCAATGACCAGACGGTGTCAACAGGCAGTGGTGGCGCACACTGTGTGCTAGCAAGGGACAACAATCAAAAGCGAAGTATCGGTGGCGGTCAGCACAGTCCTTCATTGCCAGAAGTATATTCATAGAAAAATTACACTATTTTCCTTCGCATTATTTCACTTGGTAGCCAGTCAAGTAGTCAGCCTCATTGGCTGGGTGTCCTTTTTTTCTGTTTCATTGGCTCGTGGTTGCCCCATCATCTGCTCTAGCCCTGGGCTGCGTATCGATGTCGCCTGTGTTCCGTGACTGGTACCTGATTGGTTGTATTTCCTCGGACCGCTGATCCACAGCTGTTACGCGGTCGGTCTGCCGTTAATAGCAATCCTGGGTCCTCAGCGGTCACCCATTGTTTGGCAGACCGATCTGTTTTTCTGGCTTTTCGATACATATAACTTACGGTTGGCGTGTTCGCCGTGCCGCAGTGTTGGCTTCCTTTCACTTGATTGGTTGCTGACCCATCGCAATGATCCAGAGTCCTGTCGCGTGAGATTACTCCGCTCGGGCGAATCTGCTGCGTTCCATGATCCGCGGCTGGCGTGTCGGGCCGAATTCTCAAGCATCATTACACACCGTAACTGTCGAATGCCAAACATCGAGCGTAACAGATTGCGTTTTCATTCTCTTGGCATACATTAGTAGCGCATTCTCTTCGGAAAACACAATGCGGCACATGCGAACGAATATGTACACCAGTTGGAATGGGACTAGTGTCGACATCCAACCCACTGCTGACCGCGTTGCAGTCAGTCGAAACGGGGTGGACCGACGAAACACTGCCTACCAGCGCCAACCCTCTAAACAGTGTATGGCATCATTTTAACATCCCAGAAAAGTTGAGAATTTTTAATATGACCGAAAATGCACGCAATCTCTGAATTTCTCGGGCATACTTAGTCTGCAATACTTTCATGCTTGATTGCAGTGTACTGCATTGACAGATGGAACTCCGCAACATGCAAAATTTAGGAACTGTTATTATTACTGTAAGGTTATCAGTGCAAATAAATGGGCAACGAGAGGCTCAGAAAATTTCGCGCCCTCAAAATACCAAAACAAAGCTTTAAAAGTGGTCTCTAGCCTGCTGTTATTGTTATTGGTCTACCTGTCAACTGTTTTCTATGGAGCTAAAGGACTTTATAACCCCCATCTAATTTAATACTATTCGCGATGTTAAACTGTATGTAGACGAGTGGCTGAATCCGTTCTCCGCAGAAGTAAATGTGAATTTTCAGGATCATAAAACGCATTGACTAACCGATCGCCTTTAGATTTCATGATCAAGCTCGATAGCGGACGTAAAATAAGCTTCCCGAGCTCAAATCACTCAAGGGAGTATATCGATTGCACTGTTGTCTGTGGGCTAGTGTTTAAACCCCAGCAGTCGCTCTCCATCTCCAATTTTGAAGGGCGTCCAGAACTGATGATAAATGTACGTTAGCGAGAGTATGAAACATAGTCCTTCCGATTTCTTCGCTCCATACACATTGCACTGGAACAAGGTAGACTTAAAGTATACCAGTTTTCTTTTAAATGGGCGGTTGCTTGGTGCTCTAATGTTGGTAGCGGATGTACCGGGGGCAACTGCCCCCTGGGACACTTGACAGGGAGCTAAAATCCTGGAGCCTCTAAAACCATCAAGCTATAAGAAGCAAAATTGTGTAAAGCACTACTGAACATTACTAAAAACACACAAATACAGCGAATAGATAATGGGGTCCACTGGGTAGTTACGAGGAGAAACATCACACAACTGCCTTGTGCATACATACTTAACACCGGTTTACACAGACGTACAAAAATGCTGGAACTTATTTCGGATATGGTAACTGGTGTACTTACTTCTCCAGTATTTTCTCCTCAATGTCACTACAGTGGGAATCCAAACCGACTACAGCTTTTGAGACAGCCTCCAGTATCAAATTCTTTCGAGAAGATCCATCGCGCCTTTCCCCACGGCCTACCAACCGCCGACCGTCTTTGCGACACAGTAGATTCATCACCTGATGGAGGTGCGCAAAACAAATCAAAAGACTCAGCGCACCAAGTTTCGAACTCACAGATTGTGTAACTGAGTGGTGGACTATAGCTAAACATTACTACCCCAGTTATCAATAGTATAGGAGGACCAGGAAGCCAGACGGAAAGAAGCCAACAGCAGGCCATAAGAACTCCCCGAAAACAAAGCAACACTTCAGAAACGCAGGTGTATGCGCGCGAGGAATGGACACGTAAGCAATGCACCTCACACAACCGTTGGACACAGAAGCATTGCGCGTTATGCAACATTTAACAGGGAGTGAGTAGATGAGTGGAACTTTGACACAACAAGTAACCCTGTTCAGACCTAGAGTTCTTCCAACTGTAAAATGAATGAAATCGAGCACAACTTCACATGCAGGAGCAATTGCGTCCACAGCTGGGCCACATGTCTCTTCACCATCAGCAAGTGAATCTAAAATTTGATGACAGGCGTGCGTGCGCATTATGTGCCGGGTTCGCAAAGGAACGGCGCACACACCCCATCATTCTTTGTCCACGATTCGGTGGCTTAAGGCTAGCGGTTTCGACTAGCAGTCCCGTGTTCCAGTCGTAGCTCTGCTATCTCGCTCTCACTGGTGCAAATGAGTGGCAAAACAGATGTGAAATGCAGTGTTGCAAACGTGTGGTAGGAAACAGCTAAATTACGTTCATTCGCCACCACATGGGTACATTACTCAGTGACCTACAACGCAGTCCACGGTGACTAAACAGGCATTGTTGAATTCTGGATTACGGCTGGGTACTGAGGCGTGGATTCATTGAGAAGTGACGCTCGCGAAATCAGCACAGCAACGTCAGCTGCGGTTGACTCGTGAATGATAACCAAATCAGTGGTTCTATGCCTTGAATACTCCATAAATGGAGAATCACGTTCCATCACGTTTCAAAGTTCGGAGTATTTCCGCAATGCGCAATGAATACCTGTTTCACAACAATAACGAGCGACGATTCGATGACCTCCACGCCGGCACTAGTTCACGCGCAGCCTTGCATTTGTGGACAAGCAGTGACGTAGTGTAAGTTCTTTCCGGGGGCCAAATGTACTTGAAGGTGCTCCGAGAAGTGTATAGATTTGGGGTCATAAGACAGAGACAATAGCATTTTCATCGTCAGGACGACCGGCAAAGAAGTGTTGGACAGGCAGCCTCGTTGCTATGTCTGGCGGGATGCGGCGAAGTTTGTGACATCGGGTGTCAGAGGAAAGAGCACATTGCTCTCATAACTGATGCAGAAAAGCATTAAGGGAGCACGTTGACAGAAGCGGTTCAAGCCGCGCTGCAAGCCCGGTTGGCTTAGCGGAATCTCGGACTAAACCAACTCGAAATTCACCAAGAAGGAACCAGTCAATGAGAACGCTTTGCCATTTTAATAGCCAGTCCCAGGAGTTTTGCTTTGGGTCTAGCCAAGGAGATTGGCTGCTGGTCTCCGGTAGTTCCTTCGTAGTAGACAACCTCCAGCTAGGTCAGTTCTTTTGAACTAAATAATCTGATCCAACCGGAGAATTAGCACGCACGAGTAAAACATTGACGCATGCGTATTTTTTCTGGTTTGAGAAAAGACTGGGCCTTTATTCGAGTAGTTTTCTTGGCTACGTGAACTTTCAGCGGAAATGCACCAAAATTTTTTAACCCAATTGCTAATGCTCAAATGCACCATGTAGTTTAACAATGTACAGTCAACAAGCAAAATTCGCGATGGAGTTACCAAATTCAACCAAGCTGGTTCTTACTACGAACTGGCTTTCTGTGTGAGAAGAGTCCACGGAAGGAAGCCAGTGAGGAACATTGGAAGCACATGTCAGCCTCGAGAGCACCTCAGTATATCAAAAGCTCGAAGAAGAACCGAAAAGTATCCCACATATCCCAGTAGGAAGAATACGAAATGAGTGGGACTTTCTTGCAAGTCCAGTAGAAGGCTTCCTTGTAGCCGAAGTAACCTGCTTGGTGCAAATAACCCAATGTGTACGGTATTGGGTGTAGAATCAGCAAAAACAACACATTGCAATCACCGAAACATCCGCCACCAAACTACCGTTAAACATTATTTAGCAGCTGGAAAGGTTAAAATTAGTTAGCCACTTGGGTTACGGTGAGATTAGTCAGTATTCTCAAGCGATATGGCCTGTGTACACCATGAGACCCAAGTAGTGTAAAATGTTTGTGGAGCCGGTGGTGCCAACAAGCTTTAAGAACTAACTGTCATATGCCTGGTGGTTTAGGTGCCTCTGTGGGACAACAAAGTGCATTCGGCGTCTCCACATTACGGAGGCGTAGCAAGGGGCAGGGAAGGAGGTGATCCGCTCCAAGCAATGTGTGAAAGGCGTCGGCATTTTTAGTCCAGATGATTGTTCGCTAAAAAGTGTAAAGTCATCAAAGTAAATCCATGACCGACATGGACAAAACAAAAGGCGCTAACCACTCTGAGTGCGAAATCAACCCAGAAGGTACTATTGTGCCCTGCATATACCATCTTTTGAATCTGGCTTGTGTACATGCAACTTCGGCGACGGTTGGTTTTGTTACATTTTTGGTACAATGGATCGGTTATTCTCGTTCCTTTGCCTACATGCACATGTAGCTGGAACAATTTGCTCTACGTGACCGGTCTAAGTATTGAACGGGCTCTAGAAACCAGATGGAGTAGTCAAGCAGACGCTGTAAAAGCTGTGGTAAAGAAACACTGGGAAATCGTAGCTGCTTTAGAACACATCACAGGAGAAAATGTACCCACAAGGTTAGATGTACCTTTGCGTTTCATCTCGATGCTATCGTTCCCATTTAATTCGTTTCTGAGCCTTTGAAAAGCTGTTCTGCCAGAAATCAATAATACACATACAACAGCAGTAAAGTTCTGTCTAGAAAACAGATTTAAGAGTGTGCTGCAATCAGAACAGAGAGATGGTAGACAGCTAAAAGGATGAATCCATAAACTGCTCGGAATTGAGGTACGCATGGAGAGCTGAGACGCAAAAGGAAAACAACGCATAGTAAAGAATTGTTTGATAAAACAATAAGATTAGATGTTCAGCTAAACAGAGAGCATCGTCGGTCCCACGCCAAT